TTATGAACCAAATGTTTTTTATGAATATACAACTTGAACAAAAAGTTGTTTAGAACAATTTTTACCAAATTTGCAAAAATTTTAAATTGAAACGCGTAATTCAGTACAAGTAAACATGAAATATTGTAAATACTTATTTAATATCATTTCGAGTGTTTAACGACGAAAAGGTCATCTGACCGTAGCGTCTTTTGTCAGAATATTCGTATATTTAGTGTATTATATACCAATATTGTACGCAGTTTTGAAACTGATAATTAAATAAAATATATTTACGGTGAAACGCGGGTGAAACTGGGCGAAACCATGGAAAACTTTTGAAGAACCGTTGAAGATCCGTTAAAGTCGGTTAAAATTTAAATACAGAATTTAGAGAATCTATTTGAAGTTAGGTTCGTATCACTTGGGTAGCTGGTGGCTAGTAGTAGTCTATGCCATTAGTACTTTGTTTTACGGCCTGACCTGTCAGGGCCATTCGGCCGTTGTTTTGATTATTAGCATCAGGGTTCGCCTGATGCCTGATTTAATTTTGACTGATTATTAATTTGATTTGATGTTTGATGTCATATATTTTCGTTTTGGGAGCGGGAGCGGGATCTCTCGTTATCGTCGTAATATCTGGAAGATCCGTGCCGTTCGCTTCTTCGAAATTTACGATTCAAACAGCTAATATTTAATTGTTACTTGTTTTAAACAAGTACGATTTTTTAAAAAATAACCGACTATAGGTTATTGAACGTAATGCAAGGTTATTAGGTTAACTGGTGAAAAAAAAACTACCTTTAAATAACCGGTTATTTTAGAGGAAAATACCGGTTATTCAAAAAACCGGTTACTTTTGCCCATCTCTAAATTTAAATTTAGTGAAATTCTATCATTTATTATGGTTAGTTAACATTATAGCTATTTATGTAACTAGTACCTAAAATGATGTTTTTTAGGACGAATCATTACTGTTTGCGGACGAGGCGTTAGCCGAGTCCGAAATAGTAGATGAGTCCTAAAAAACTACTCAGGCCCAAACCCGTGTTACATACACTATTTTGTCATACGCTTTTTACAGTTTTTTAGAACGCATGTTGCAAATTTTCCATATTTGAAATTATAATGTTTGAAAAAGTTGGCTTATAAATTCATATCTTAGTAACGAGGTTTGTTTATTTCATCGCATTTTGACATGTCATTCGAAATTTGTCACAAAATCCACACAAATTCATCAACAATTTAGACATTTTAGTCCATAAAGGTTGCCATGACGACCTTTACGGCCTAAACCGAAAAAGAAACATTTTACGGACTGAAATGAGTCCGTAAAATAGCTGTTTTTGGGGCGTATGACAAAAATATGATTTTGTCATAAACCACTATTTTACGGACTTCATTTCAGTCCGTAAAATGTTCTTTCGACTAGGCCGCCCAAGTCGTCATGAAGCTAAATATCTAAGTCATTGACTGGTTGTTTTATTTTTGTCATTCGAAATTTGTCACAAAATCACATAAAATTATACATATATTTATAATTAAATTATTAAATACTAACAATATCAAAAGCTAAGTTATTTGTTTAAAGTAAGTACCTAGGTACCTATTTAAAAAGAGGCTTTTAAATTAAAATATTCTTAAATTACAGTCACAAACAAGACATAATCATGTGGTACATTTTTTTGGCCTAAGACAAGCATATTTTCTATACAACTCAACTGGATTGACAAAAGCGTTCCTTCGTTCACCACCGGAAACACTCTTTTGATATTAGTTTTTGTATCCGCAAGGGGTAACTAAAAGGCAGCTGTTGTCTTTTTTCTATGATGTCTTGCACTCGTAGAGAGTACAATTCTTCTCTTCTACATGCTCCACAAGGCCAATGACAAGAGCTACCTAAAAATCAAATACAATGGAATAAGAAACCATCTATATATTTTAAAAATCATTATCGCAAACTTACCTTAGTAAGTAAATAAGTTTCATCACTAGCCGTGGCCAAAAAATCACCGATCTCTTTTATGGATAAAACCTTAGACTTTTTAGGCTCGTAACCAACCGAATTCCTCTTCAAAAAAGCAATAAGTTTTGGAAATTTGTCAATATAAATATCTTCTTTAACACTTAACACTGCTCTCAGCATGGAATATTTCGACCAAATTGGCGATGGTTTGAATGTTTGTGACTGTAATTTAAGAATATTTTAATTTAAAAGCCTCTTTTAAATAGGTACCTAGGTACTTACTTTTTTCGTGGAAATAATTTAGCAATACATCTTCATTTACAACGAATACGCCATTTTTGTCTTTCCATTCATTAAAAACATCATATTCTTTCTGGTAAATGGCACGAGACTTCACAGGAAGTAAATCCAACACGATTTCTTTGGCCTTATTAGCAATATGTTCCGAGATTTTGGAACATTTTTAAAATTGTTGATGAATTTGTGTGATTTTGTGACAAATTTCGAATGACATGTCAAAATGCGATGAAATAAACAAACTTCGTTACTAAGATATGAATTTATAAGCCAACTTTTCAAACATTATAATTTCAAATATGGAAAATTTGCAAACTGCGTTCTAAAAAACTGTAAAAGCGTATGACAAAAAATAGTGTATGTAACAACGTACCCTAGAGATATGTTTTTAGGACTCATCTACTATTTCGGACTCGGCTAACGCCTCGTCCGCAAGCAATAATAATTCGTCTAAAAAACATCATTTAAGGTACTAGTTACATAAATAGCTATTATTTGTAGTTTGAATCTCTCTTGAAGCTTAGACTAAGAATACAAAATTGAAGTTCAAGTAATGAATGAAGATAATCTTTCATTATTTATTCATTTTAATCTCTTTATTTTTCTTTGGTATTTGATTAAAATAAATTGGTTGTAGATTGTAGAACTTGTGAGTTGTGTGGTTTATTTGAACGTTAAGTAATTACTAGTTTTAATATCATATCCATGTCTACTCAAAAAAGTGAGGTTAGCATTTTTATTTAAATTCATTTTGTACATATACATACTTACATTGCTACAATCTCTATTTAATCATGCGATTTAACTAAGTTTATTATCTAAATTTGAAGTAGACCTATGGAGTGTAGAGGTAAGTAAACCTATAGGAAAACTAAATATTAGAGGTGGGTTGTGAAATCGCAGTCCGCTACTTTGTCACAGCTCCACCAACGTCGCAGTATGTGACTGCTCCAGTTCCAAGAAAATCGCAGTGACATTTCGGAGCAGTTTACAAGTTTAGGACATCTGCGCTCGTGAGTAGCAATAGGAGCAATAGCAGGCAATAGTGTAAATTCTGAAAATGCTCCTAGCCCCGTCGCCCGGTCAGACTGTTCCAGTCACAGTCGTCGCAGGTCGCAGTCGACTGGAGCATAGTATATTGAGTATATTCTGTGTACTGGAGCTGTTGGGAGTTTGGGAACGGGAAACGTAGCAGCGTTCGCTTTTTCTTTCATGAATCTAAATAAGATATTTATGTATTATATATTAATCACAAACAGATGTTTTTGACAAAGGTAATTTTTAACTTGTTAGTATGTTTATTTGTTAGTTAATTTTGTATCTGTGTTTTGTTGTATATCCTAAATCTTTTATTTGATCTTATACATTCATATAAGTTTTATTATTTATATCTATTTTTAAGGTCTGATGATGGCTAAATAGCCGAAACCGGTCACTAATAAAGATTTTTTTGACAGTTTCGACTTTGAATTGAATATAACATTAAGTTTTTACCATGGGCCACCACTCTGTGAAAATGAACAGACTCTTTAAGATATTTATAGCAAAGTGCTTGGTACTTAGAAACACTCAAATTCTTCTGAATAGACTAAAAAAATATAGCAACATCTATCAAACTAAGACATCAGTATAGTACCGTACAGCCGCGATTTTAAGAGCTCTAGGGGCCCGTAGTTCGGAAAAGTTCGAATCTTGTTCGCAAGGGCCCGGGAGGCTTGGGGCCCGTCGGTGACTTACCCCGATTGCACAGACGTTAAAATCGCCACTACTGATCGAAATAAAAAACGGCGTCCAGTTGGCTTGGAAATGACAATCGATAACATTCCCCATAAATTTTACATATAAAATGCCAGCAATCTTCATTTCATAGCTATCGCTGACGCCGTTTTTTTCGATCATACGATATAAATAAATAAAAACTAGACGATGATGTTGCCTATCATAATCACACCTATAGTCCTGTACTTTTTTAGTAAATGCAACGAACGATTGCCCCGAACACCGAGTGCGATTTTTCGGAGCAATTAACCTATAAAACTACATTTTTAATTTATAGGTTAATTGCTCCGAAAAATCGCTGCTACTTGTCACAGTGCTTTTATTGGAGCAGTCGCAGAGCGTAGCAGCTCCACAAAAATCGCAGACTGGCCCACCTCTACTAAATATTTAGTTTTGCTAGGTTAGGTTATTTGAATAACCGGTTAATTTGTGTCGGTTAATTTTGTCAAGTTATTATTTTTTAAAGATAATTCCGGTTAACCTATAACCGGTTTTTTACCAATAACCGCCCATCTCTATTTAAATTGCCCCCCGTATGGTTGAAAACAGCAAATTGATATTTGATTACTTATAGATTACCACCTATATACAAAATGACAGGAAGACCTGGAATATGGCGCCCAACTTGATTAGACCTTCTGCGCATGTTGACGCTCATTCTCTATCCCTTCTATTTCTCTGATTATGCTCCTTCCTTAGTCTTCTTATTCAAAGGTTGCTACAATATTATAATTTACATTTTTACAAGGGTATTTTCATGTACCGGCCGGATAGCTCTGACAGCTGTGGCCATACAACCGAACAATCATATAAATAATTAAATGGCATTAGCAGAGGGCAGCAGTCAGAAACGCTAATTTATATATGATAAAGTATGAAAACCCCTGTTAACAGGCCGGATAGTCTTAGTAGCTTAGGTCTTCAAAATAAATTAAAAAGAAGATGTATAAAATATGTTTCTGTGGTTTAACCTTTAACCCCCGGAAAGTTGTCATTTATGATTAAATGGCAATTTAAAAATCGATAATTCATTAAATTTTTAAATTAATTTTTGTATTAACACGCCTCTAAAAACAAGTCAACTAATTTTAATAGAAATGCTACAGTTTATGGATTCTTATTTAGGTATTTATTTTGTGCTGGACATATGATTATATTCGTTAATTGTCCAGTAGATGTGCCTTTTCTGAAATGTGATATTACTTTTATAATGTTTCGACGAAAAAAATCAGTCAATAAGAAAAAATTGGAGCACAAATTATATTTAGTAAGGAGTAATGTCATAATTTGTTATAAAAAATATAAATTATTTATCGTTTTAGGCTAGAGAATCTCCGGAACCCACATTTGATCTATCTGATTGTGATTTAAATAATGTGCCCAGCGGTGTTTATTCCCTTTGTAGGGTGTTTTGTAAGATATCTCTCCACCTTCAAAATAATCAACTTAGTTCACTTTCGGGAGGTGGTGACTTGAAAGACTTGTGTAACTTAATAATTTTAGATTTACATAATAATCTTTTTACATTGTTGCCAGCTGATATGAATACCTTAACAAATTTACAAGTAACTTTTATATTTTATAAAATCTAGAAAGTAATAGTTTTGTTTTAGGAATTATATTTACAAGAAAATCAGTTGAAACATTTACCAGAAGCTTGTTGCTGTTTGGTCAATTTAAAACATTTAGATATTTCTAAAAATAGACTAAAAGATTTATCAGAGAATATAGGAAATTTAGTTAATTTAAGAATACTTAAACTTGAAAATAATCCTGATTTGAAATATTTGCCAAAAAGTATTTGCAGGGCACAAAGACTCATTTTAATTGAATTAGATGTTGAAGGATTTTTATATCCACCGATTGATATAATTAGGGAAGGTACCGAGAGTATTATGAGGTACATTTGTAGTGGTAAGTACTTTTTTAGTTTTCTGTACTTTAACATTCTAAGAATAGTTTTATATGTTTAGATATTGAATTTCCCTATGTCTCTCCCAATGATGTGGAAGATATTCAACTAGAATTACCTAGTAGCAGTTTAGAAGAGGTTGATAAGTTTCAGGTAATAATTATTTCTTTACTTCAATACCTACCAGTTGCATTACATCTTCATTTAGATATTTCTTTTTTGTTACAATTTTTATGTTACCATTTACATTAGCAATCTTTTTTTCAGGAAAAAATATGGGACCTTGAAAAACAAAAGGCATGTGTACTTTTTAGTTTCTTTTTTATTCACTGCTTTCATCATTGCTATTAGATAATACTTGAATTTAGTACAAATAGGGTAGAAACAATTTATTACTTTGTTTATATATAGATCTAAAGCTATTTTCATATTTCAGTTGATGAAAATGCAAGAATTTTTAGAAATAGAGAAAAACAATGCCCTTTTACAGAAACAGGAAATTGAATTTTCAAATTTACATAGAGCTAATAAAGAAAAGGTAAATAGATGGTATATAGTATATTGTTTCAAATATATTATTTCTTGGTTTTTAGCTTTTGTCTTCTATAGCGGCGCAACAAACAAAATTAGATAATAAATTGAGCAAAATACAACAAAAAAAGGAATATGAACGTTTTCATTTAATCGAGCAATTACAAGAAGGTAGTTTTTTTACTGATTTATTTTTGAAACTAATAATGGTTTTCTAGCTGAAAATAATGCAGATGAGGCAATAAATAAATTACTGGCATTAAATCAGGAACCTCAGATACAACTTTTAGAGAGGGAATTGGAAGAAGAGCAAAAATTGATAATTGCTGTTAACAGGTGAGTAAGTTATACATTATTATGTTTTTTTATATGTGTATATAGTATACAAAATTCTATTACAGACATCATGAATCTTTGTATAAAGATGATATATTAGCTGCCATGCAAGATATTTTATCGCAAGAAGCAGAACTATTTAAAAAGTTTGATAATTCCAGGATCGAAACATCAAGGAGTATTTTAGAACAGTATGTTAAAATAATTTAAATGAATTTGGATTTTAAATGAGAACTATTTTTTTAGGGAACTAGAAAAAGACTCCAAACTATCAGAAATTCTACAGAATCAGGACTTACAGAAATCAAACTTGGTGGCAAAATTATTAGAGGATAGTGATTTGCAAAAAGTTGCTGTGGGTACCTTGCTAGAAAGAGGAGATGCTCGTAGCTGGGGTCTCGTTCAACAAGTTAGACTTGTCGAGTCCCAGCTTCTTGCTTTAACCAATATTGAAATAGATAGGAAGAAATTAAAGATAGATGAGCATTTGGTAAGAGTGTGACTCTAAAAAAGGATAGATGATTTTGCAATTCATGCTTTAATTTTAGAATGACTTGTCAGAAAAACGGCTGAACCTCTCAATACTTCTTGTAGAACTACTAGACCAACAAAAGGAAAGGAGAGCACAACTTCTGTCTACTTTGCGAGCCATGGAAGAGCAAAATACAAACAATGTAGATGATTTTTGGTTGAGACAGTATCAGAGGCTTCTGGAAAGGTACATCTTTTTCTTAGTAACTGAATACCTACATTCATATTTTTATATTTCGTAGACTTCCTGAAGGCCTTTCACATGCCCAAAAGAATATTGACCAAAAGCTGGCAGAAATCCTTTTAATAAATGGAGTTTTACATTGTTTACCATTTCTGGCAAAATTAACACAGTGCCAATCTAACACTAAAAATATCACCGAAAATGATTTGATTGAAGCAGGCATATCAAATGCAGTTGATCGATTAAAAATAATCGATGCACTTTGTATATACTCCAAGGAGCACCTTTCTTGTGAGTTTACACCATCAGCTCCACTTCTTGAAAATGAAGGGGCCTCAGCACCTCCACTTGAACACATTACACCATTTAATAGCTTAGAATGTGTCATTTGTATGGAGGTTGAGGTAATATATTCAATGTAGTAAGAATTATTTTGATTAAAAAAATCTTTTTTGTAGTGTCACATTATTTTTGTGCCGTGTGGTCATTTGTGCTGCTGTTCAAACTGTTCCTTACTCGTAGCTGAATGCCCATTGTGTAGGGCATGCATAGAAAGAAAAATAACTATAATGGAATTGCATTGAAATTTCTCTGAATTTGTTAACATTTTTTAAAATTCTTCAATACTTTTGAAAGCATTAATATATGCTTGACACATAATTATCTATATTTATGATACTTCTATTTAAAATTCACCATTTCCCTTATATATTCTTATTTTGTAACATACCTTTTTATATTGTTAATTCTATTTATCGGTTTTATAAATTGTTAAAAAAATATATAGATTAGAAATTGTTTTATTTCTTTTTTTTTACCTTAAAATAAATAAGATTCACACAAATTCAAACAAAAAAACTCAGTCTCCTGTTTCTTCATCCACAATATCATCTTCCTGTTCCTCCTCGACTTCTTCATGGCCATTTTCATTAGGTTTCTTCGATTTAGGTTGTTTCTTACCCTTCGATTCCTTAAAATCTAAAATAAAATTATGAGAGAATCTTCTGATTTATATTCCAGCATAAAGAACTAGTTAACTTACCTTTTAGGACCCTTTGTAAAGGGTCGATGAAATCCTCAAATTCCAATTCCTCCAAAGCTTTTATTACATCTTGACCTAATAAGGTTTTCCGTTTTTCTCGTTGTGCTTCTTGTGAAGCCTGTGAAGTAAGAAATAATACAAAAACTGAAGCGGCTCTTGAGAGAGCTGCCCTAGCGTCTTTGCCAATAATAACGTTGTCCGGTAGAGATTCTTTAATAATTCTAGCGACGGTTGCGCCAGGTAAATTTAGGTCTTCTAATTTCTCAGCCATTGTTAATTTTAATGAATATAACTACGATATCGTAATATAAAACTAAAACAATCTCACGATACAAATTAGAGAAGCAAAGCAAACAAAATTTAATAGGTTAGTTTCAAATTTTATTTTAAAATGAAATGTCAGATGTCAGATGTTTCCCGCCACTGCAGAATTTTTATTTTCTATTTCATTCTCTTCGCTATAAAGTAAGAGAGGTGCGATAAGAATTAAGATATTTGTTATCCTTTTTATACTTGCTATAAAGATAGAGATAAATAGTTTTTGAAAATCTTCATTCCTAAGTTCCAATCTAATCAGAAAAATTAACATTTAAAAACATTTCAAAATTGATTAATAATTCTTGAATTAATCAGTTAGTAATAATTATTATATTATCAAGAAGATATTTTGGTACACCGAGTTCTCTTTTCAATTAAATTGAATTCAACCAAATCGGATTTGATAGATTACTTATATTAACATTTATTTTGAAACTTAAAATGTTGTATCCTACTTTTATTACTAAAATTATTAATTATTTATTAATTAAATATACATGCCTACATTGTATATAGATGTATGTGTATATAAGCTGAAAAGTATTCCCATATGGAGTTTATTTTTAGCAAATTTGGAAAAATTCCATGCATTTTGCGTAATGTTCGTTCATTGAAAAAATGTTAAAACGGTTTACAATTTTTACATGAGATTTATTTTAGGCTACAAAAAATGTTATGCTATTGGGACGGTCAAGGTTGCCTCGAATAAGTTCATATGTTTAAAGTTAACGTAATGTATTCATCGCGCTGATCATGCTTGCCATAGCGAAATAGAACCATTGAATATCTTCTACCTATACTTAGGTAATCATTATAATTCGCGGTGGGTCGGATAGAGATGTGGTACCTACCACTATTAGTTTACAGTTCTGAATAAATCTTAAACAAATTGCACAGTATTTTGCAAAAATTTTTGGAGCTTGTGTGTATAGAAATATGGTAACTTTTTAGTGTATTCATATTTTTGAATTGAGAATGGAAACGGACACTTTTTTAGCTAAAAAGTAAGTGAGCAATGAATTAATTAATTTATACATTTATATTTACCGTATCATCGAAAAAAAAATTGGCGTCCAGTTAGCTGGGAAATGACGATCAATGGCATTTCTCAATATAAAATGACAGCAATCTTCATTTCATAGCTATCGCTGACGCTGTTTTTTTTTCGATGTCCCATAAGTATTTGAAATATAGATATATATCGTAATCAACATTTTTTTAAAATATATTATTTTCGGCTTTTATCAAAGTGTAAATTTATTTTTTTATTATTATTTAAGAGATATTTATAATCATTCATAAAATTCCAAAAATATACAGGGTGTCCCAGAAATAAGTGCAAGTATTTTAAGGGGTGGTGGTGGATCTCGACAAAAGAAATATATTTTCTCTTTATTGTTTTTCAAATAAGTCCAAAATAACGGAGATATTTTACTTTGAAAATTTAAAAAAAAAAGATTTTTTGCTAATATTTTGAGAAGCACTGGATCTTTTCTGGATTTTCTTTCTTGTAAATTTAATCTAATACCTATGTTGTCATATTATCAAGAAATTATGTTTTTAACTAAAAACTAAAAAAAAATCCAAAAATTTTGAATTTTCAAATTTTTTTTAACTATACTACCAGTTAAAATACTTGCACTTATTTCTGGGACACCCGGTATACTATTTTTTTAATTTTCAAAGTAAAAAAACTCAGTATTTTGGACTTATTTGAAAAACGCTTAAGAGAAAATGTTTCTTTTTTTCGAGATCTACCATCCTTGGAAATATTTGCACTTATTTATAAGACTCACCCTGTATATCGATGTTGAGTCATACTTCATAATTTGAGACTCGCTGTATAATTTACTGATTTATTTCAAATTAATTAGAGAATTGATGGATGGTATACCGGGCGCGTCTAAAAAGTACCCCTATAATTTTTTATTTTTTTAGTTAAAAAAAGGAGATTTGGTATGTTAGTATATGACATAAATTAGGATTGATTGACGTATTCAATAGTTTTCGGCCACTTCTTGTTTCATCGGAAATGACTACAACTTTTGATTTCTAAATGGCACCCTCGGTATTTTTTACTTTATTACAATTAGGGAATGCAATCCCGCACCAAAATCTCAATCCCGCAGACCTGCGGGATTAAAGCAATCAATCCCGCGGATCCGCAAAATTGCGGGATTGTAAACAATAAATGCTCTTCTTTTCTCTCTTTGATTTTGAGATGCGGTTTTGACCAGGTTTTAGACGCATTTATTGTGATTAAGATGCTATGTGGTTTTCGAAAATATATTTAGCGAATTCTCGTATACAGGGTGTTTTATAATAGTGTACAAATTTGGTCAAGAATTTTTTTTACCGAAAATTTACAATTTTTGAAAAATCGAAATTTTAACTATGTAGGCTGTATTGAAATTAGAAAAAACAATTTGATGTTTTTTTTCTAATTTTTTGTTTTAAGAAAAATACGATTTTTTTTTTCGAAAAATTTGCATTTATAGTCCTAAATAATACATTTGGTCCTAAATGGTACAAAAGGCATTGTACATTTTGCATAGGCACACAATATACTGATATAGCGTGTATCTTCTAGCTGTACAGAAATTTGGACCGATGTATACAGGGTGTTCAAAAAATATATTTAATATTAAATAAACTTAAATTTTATTATAATTTATCTACTTATTTTATAAATAAAAATATTATTCTGATGTTGAAGATTTTTTTCAACTTCTGTTAGTTATCTGCTTTTAGATACACTCTATATTAATAATTTTTTGGCATATGCAGAATGTACAAAGCTTTTTGTACCATTTAGGACAAAAAATTTTCGAAGAAACATCGTATTTTCCTTAAAACAAAAAAAAATAAAAACCCGATCAAATTGTTTTTTCTATTTTCAATACAGATTAGTCGTACTTAGTAAAAATTTCGATTTTTTAAAAATTGTAAATTTGCGGTAAAAAAAAATTTTGACCAAATTTTCACACTCTTATAAAACACCCTGTATACGAGAATTCGCTAAATATATTTTCGAAAACCACATAGTATCTTAATTACAATAGATGCATCTAAAACCTCGTCCAAACCGCATCCCAAAATCTTTTTTAGTTCAAGAGATATTCAACTTTAAATTTACCCTAAAATTTTGCTTGTCCCGATAATTATGTCCGGTACCTAGTTTATTTGACGAAATTGTCCACAAGTACTAGTTAAACGCTTTTCTTCACTTACGCACGCCAGAAAGAAATCTAACAACTAACCTGTCTAACCGCGGAATCACAGAGGGATCCCGCATTTGCGGGATCCAGCATTTGCGGGATTGCATTCCCTAATTACAATACATTGTACAATATTATTTAGTTAATAAAAAGTTTCAAACAAAATGGTTATAAAAATAGAATAGGAAACAATAAAGACCATTTTTTCACAAACAATGACAAGACTTACCTACATCACAACAATACAAAATAGGAGTGGACATATCACAATTCATTTTGTGGAAACAAATTGGTATCTAAAATACTAATTTTCCTGGTTTCTATTTTTGGATCGTTGGCATCGCTTGCTGATTCCTTACCGTACCGATGATGCTGGAAGGCACTGAAGGCAGTTACACTATATAGTGTACACTAATGTAGGTAGGGTTGTTGTTGTGTGTGTGTGAATGTCTACAATAGTGTACACTGGTGTATACGGTTACGAGTTTTTATTGTTAATTTAAGGTTACGAGTTTGTTGAGGGCTGTCCGACTAATTTTTTCCTTCTGTTTTTATATATTCCCCTCACTACTTCAATTTTTATAAAATAATAATAAATATACATGTCTATGTGTATCATAGTTGTAGGATTTCTTATTTTGTGTTGTAGGTATACGATAATATTTTTTATTTGTCTACCGTCTCTGTATATTAACGCTATCTTTTCTTGATACCTACAGTTCTGTTATCTGTGATACCTACTGTTACAAATATTGTAATATAGGATTACCTTATTATCGTTATCGTATGCCATTTTAAATACGGCATTTTTATTATGAGTGTATTATGATAATATTGACATAAGTGAATATTTACATGCCGAAATAACAATAAGGATATATAAAATAAAGCTGAACGGTAACAAAATAATATGCCTCTTTTACTTATTTAAATGTTCTTGTTCTTTATACATATTTATTATACAGGGTGACAATTTGAAAACGAATAGTATTTAATATTACCTCTACCGATGATAGTATGAAAATTTGGCAAAATACGTCAATTTACATATCAAGGGGGATAATTTTTGAGGCATTTGTTGTCGTGTTACTTTCAACCTTTTGACCCCCAGGGCACCTACCCCTAAAATTTTAAATGGCAACCCCTATTTCTTTTACCAATTTTGTGTTCTTTATAAAATTCTCAAAAAAACAATGCAGTTTATGTAGAATTCTATAAGAAACACAAAAATGGTAAAAGAAATAGGGGTTGCCATTTAAAATTTTAGGGGTATGTGCCCTGGGGGTCAAAAGGTTGAAAGCCGACAACAAATGCCTTAAAAATTGTCCCCCTTGATATGTAAATTGACGTATTTTGCCAAATTTTCATACTATCATCGGTAGAGGCAATATTAAATACTATTCGTTTTCAAATTGTCACCCTGTATATATTTTCTTTATGCGCCATTTCAAATAAGTCAAAAATATCCAAATTATTTTACTTTGAAAATAAAAAAGGTGATTGTTTTAATTCTTTTTTTCTGTTTTTTTGTTCCTTTAAATTTATTTTTAACTGAAAAGTTAAATATTTTTCAAAAATGTTTAACTTTTAAAAAAAAATACAAAAATACAAAATTTTCATTTTTTTTACGAAAAAAAACTTCTAGACTACTTACTTACTTACTTCTAGACTTAGATTATTTGAAGAAGGTAGACAATCGTCTCGATATCGATCGAAATGATTCAATCGAGAGTCGATATAAATTAAAAAAAAATTATGTGTGCACTATGTGCGCATATTTGAAGTGAAACTTTTTCTTATTTCCGTCTGTCGGTTTGAGGACTCAATTCGGGTCGAGTTTGGTTCCAATCGACCTATAATTAAGAGAAATATCTTGTTGATTTCGTCCATTTAGAGGCATCGGTTCGAAACGTCGATGGCGTCATCCTGTAGCTCGTTCCCAATTATGCCGAGATCGACTCACATTTTTTTTCAATATCAAATCGTTAGTCTTGCCCTGATGAAGATGTAAACGAAACGTCGTGTTCAACTTTGCAGGTTGGGACCGTGTGCACCGTCGCTCACATAGCCTATACCCATCAAATTTGGTCGCGATCGGACGACATCAACTTTTGACGTTTCTGACGTCAAAACTAACTGTCACAGTGACACGTGTCGTACACGGTCAACTTGGCTTTGATTTGATTCATTGATGATGGAGTTTCGTAGTGCATGCAACATCGTCAAAATATCACGAAAAATGGGGCTCTTTGTGTGCCTCGTCTACATTCCGAGTTTCAGGCCCGTATAGCTCACATGGGGCCCGAGTTACGACGCCTCAAAGACCAATTAAATCGGACGATTTCTTCGTCATTGATGATGGAGTTTCACAGTGCATGAAAAGGCGTCAAAATATTATGAAAAGATGGGGTTCTTCGAGCCACATCTACATTCCGACTCTAACTTTAAGAGAATGTAGCTTACATAGGGCCTGAGTTACGACGCTCCAAGATCGTTACCACTTTTCCTCTCGCGTCTCGTGTGTCACGGCCTCCAATTTTTACTCCCAGTTTCACTTAAAAAAAAGTATTTTTTTTATCTTAATAATTAATCTTAAAGATTATACTCTTTCTGTTTCAATCAATGTTTTTCTTTCATATTATTTTTTGTCAGTTATTTGCCTTTATCAAATATCTTAGAAAATCAAGTTGTATACGCCACTGTTTTTTTAACACACCAATTAATGACTAGATTGTACAGATTTTTATTGAGCAACAACTTAGTTTTATCAATATTTACATCAAGTTTAATTTAAAATTCAAATTGAAAAAAATATTTATGTTACATTGTAATTTTTAAATTTTTAATAAATCAACTACCTGTTACTAAACAATAACAAGAAAATTGTTTGATAATTCTGTTCTGTAAGTTGATAGGCAGACGATGAAATAAATTTTGCAATGAAATGAAACCCCAAATACATAATGAAAACAAAAGACTACCCAACTAGCAAATATAGTTCCCAGTCCTTTTTAAAATGTCACTGCCCCTAAAGTATAGTTCCTAGGTCCACTCTGCTACTTAAAATGTTACTCTATAAGGAATAGTCACTTTGAAGTATATTTCGAGAGTGACCGGTTAGTGCCTACATACCATAAAAGTGGAAAATAAACACCCCGATTGAAAGTCGCAAACATGTAATTTAAAGAAGTGGCTGGAACTACCCGAATCTTCGAATATGACACCATAAAAGACCAAAAACTTTATAGTAACTTTTCAAAGTTGGGGTTACTAACAAGTGCTACCATAATGCCTCCATTAAGTTTTTGTTACTTTATAGTAACAATTTAAGTTACGGAGTAGTCGCGGCCACGACACCTGGTTACTTCTAATTTATAGTAGCGTTGAAAGTAGCAAAATGGTTACTGCTACCTTCCTAGGTCACTATAAAGTAGCCGTCGCTCATCCATTGCCACTAAAAAGTCACGGGGATCAAAAACGGCTACTTTATAGTGACCGTAACTTAATATACCCTAATGAATGTAATTGCCTCAGATTGCATCGTGTGCTGCTCTGTTTTAGTGTTTTCTTTTACTTACTTTTAAGCTTTATTAAAATTTTGTAAAATCCCTAAGGTGAATAAAAAGAAATTTAGATATTCTAGTACTTTCTACCGAAGAATTAAACAAAAGGAATCACTCACAGAGCCGATGCATCAACATCAGAAACAAAAACTACATCTTTCTATATTCCTGAACATCATAAATGAGGCATTTTTGAAGCTGTTTCTGTAGATGAGTGTAGTGTTAGTTCATCTGAAACTGAACCTCAGAGGAGAACTAATTTGAGAACCAACAACAATATAAAATAAGAGCTAAAAGAGTGGGCGTTAAAATACTTTATACCTCATGTAGCTCTGAATAATATAAAAACACTAATAATAGAAAATACACAATAAGTAAAAAATATCTTCAAAGGACAAGGCGGAACGTTATCTTGGCAAAAATCACTTTATAGTTCCAAAGAATCGTTGACCATGTAGTTCCAAAAAAGTTATTGTTTCTATAAAGTCGCCTTTGGATAGCTACAATTGTCACTTTATCAATCCGAAGATTTTAAAGGTCCAAACGGGTAGGGTTGGCCTAATATCATGAGTTTTATGTACGGTGCTAATATGCTATTATTCCCGGTACTTTGTGGAAGCATATGGAACTATAAAGTATTTTTCGGATTAAACGGCCATATTTTTTTCATGAATTTTTAGACGAACAGCCAAATGGCTGAAACATTATGCGTTTTTCAGCTAAATATACCTAGATTAAAGCTTTTATCCTTAGTTATTTTGTTATTTCTGACGGTGGACTAATATTTTAAAGTTTGACCCCCGATTTCAAGCAAATTATTATTATTTTTTAATTACAAACATGAGTTTCTATTGCAAATAATATAATAATTTGAAATATTTTGAGAGGCGCTCGAAAATGTTGTTATATAAACCCACTATTTTATTCAGTAAAGTTGATTGCGTTCTGGAATTTACCTAAAAAAGGCGTTAAATCGCACGGTAAATAACAAATAACGAAAAATAATGGCTTCCATAATTATTTTCCATCATAACATTTATTTTTATGAAATGTGGAATTGCATGAAGAGGTCGCGGCGAATAAAGTTCAATAGTTTAACGAAAGTTTCACATGTCGGTGGATAACACTTGGCTGACACGAACCCTCGACTAGGCAGCTTCGTAACGGATAAGTCGCATTCACCAGTAGGCTACTTTATAGTAACACATCATAGTAACTCTTTTAGTGGCCAAAACTACCCAAGACACTACCCGGCTACTCAAAATCTTTCCCCATTTTGGTCGCAGTTACTTAGCAGCTACGAATATACGACGTAGCCGCCGATGGTCACCGCCCACTTTGTAGTGGCTTTGATAGTTGCAGTTACGTATCTGCCACTATACATGCTAGTTGGGTAGTAGATTTTATATACAATAAAATAAAACGTAATTTGTATCTGTAACAATGTTCACTTAAAATTGTAAATAATGTTAAATTATTTGTTTTAATAGAAACTTTTATAGGGGTATATATTTTAAGCTAAAAATCTTCACCTTTTTCAACCATTTCCAATTATGGTGTAGCTTCATCCCTCACATAGATACTCTCTTTGTAGTTGTATGTATCCATTGTTGTCTATTGCTGGCTATGCAGGCCCAAAAGTTATCCCTGCTAATTTCCTAATATCTGGTCCCATCTTAGGTTTGGTCTTCTTCTAGGCCTCTTAATTCCTCTTGGGTACCATGCTGTAATCTTTGTGGTCCGTCCGTCCTTCTTGCTAGGTACCCTGCCCACATATTGCCACTTGAGGGATTTCATTATGTGGATGACATGTATTACCTGGGTCGTTTGTCGTATGCACTCTATTCTTTTACGGTCATTCTTGCTTATTCCCAGCATATTTCGTTCCATTGAGCGTTGTGCGACCTACAGTTTCCTTATAATGTCCGCGTTAAGTGTCCAGATGTCGCATGCATAGGTCACGAGTGGTAGTACACATTGGTCGAATGTTTTCTTCTTTAGATAAAGTGGCACTCTAGTTTTGAATATGATTGAGTTTCTTCCATAAGTACTCCATGCTAACTTAATTGTTCTGTTGATTTCGGGTAGTAGAGATCCCGAGCTGTATATTAGTTGTCCTAAATATTGTTACGTTTTTCGTCGGTTCCGTGTGGATAGAAAGTCACAATTTATTTAAACACTATTAACGCAATAATATAATATATATTCTTCTACTATTTCCAGTGTTGTGTTATTTATTAGAATGTTTTTTCTGTCTACTAGTTTGTTGTACATTACTTTAGTTTTGGGTAAATTCATTTTGAAACCTACTTTATTGCTGGCTATATTTAGTTCGTTAATTTGTGCTTGTAGTTCTTCAAGACTATTGGCAATTAAGACTATGTCATCAGCGAATCTTAGATGGTTAAGATATTCTCCCTCTATTTTGAATCCTTTGCTGGTCCAGTCCTATCGTTGTGCGCTTTGAAGCAGATACCAGTATCAGGGAAGAAATTTTATTTTGCAAGGCACTTCCTGCAAACACTACTGGCCAGTGTTTATACGATATGTTTTTAGAAAGTACTTGCGACTACGATATTGACTGGAAAAAATGTATCGCTATTTGTAGCGATGGCGTTAAAGCTATGACTGACAAAAAGAGCGGACTTATTGCAAACTTTAAATCGATGATGCCAAACATATCCTGAACACACTGTTTTCTTCATCGACAGGTTCTAGCTGTTAAGGTAGTACCTTCTGGTTTAAATGAGTGCTTAAGGAGGTAATAAAAATTGTGAATTCTATCAAAGGTAAAACTTTGCAAACCCGGCTATTCAGAATCATTTCAAAATCTCCTTTATCACACAGAGGTCAGGTGGCTATCCAAAGGTATTGACAAGAGTTCTGGAACTGAAAGCTGAATTTTTAATGTTCTTACAAGATGCAAAATCTGAATATGCTTCTCGTTTCTCTGACCCTATTTGGCTCTTGAAATTAGCATTTTTAACAAATATTTTTAGCCACTTTAACAATTTGAACAAAAACATTCAAGGAAGAGAAGAAAATATTTTAACAGCGAAAGATAGAGTAAATGCATTTCACGCAAAATTTCGTTTGTCGTCAACCCCTCAAAATGTTCGAATCTTTTCCAGTGTTCAGAAGATTATTGAAGATAATGCAACAGACCAAAGCTATAAATATGTTTAAAATGGAATTTTATTCACAAAGTGTCGACGTATTTTGGATAAAAAGAAAACACGAATATCCAGAGCTGGCAAGGGAAGCTTATTTAAATTATTAGTGCCATTCGCCTTTTCATACTTATGTGAACTGACATTTTCTTCAATGGTAGACATTAAAACTAAAAAGAGAAATAGACTGCAATTAGAAAACGATTTGACTATTAACGTTTCAAAAATAGCAGCACAATTTGATAAAACTTTTGAAAAATAAACAAGAACACATCCTTCTTACTAAAATTTTATTTTTGTTGTGTAAGAACCTCGACTTTTTCTTTCAGCCGGCGACCCACAGATTGAAAAACAGTGAGATATAGGCTTAGTTGTTTTAAGGTTTAGTTAAGTTTAAACTTGATAACGGATACAACTGACTGAAACGTTGTGTAAAATTTCAAAATTGAAGACATCAATGTCTTCTATTTTCAAAGAAACATTTACGAAATCTGGTTGTGTTTTATTTTCTATCGACGCCATTGAGACGAAAAATTAAAAGTTCACGCGCCTGAACTCACCAATTAGAGATTCGCGTATATATCCAGACATTTGTTTTAATTTAAATCCTATTGTTATGATTATTCTGCGATCGACAATCTAAGCAGATGTGCAAACTTATCACAGAGATAGTGCGTGTTAATGATAAAAGAAAAGTAAAATAAGTCTAGTAGAATGGGTGTTCATTTCGACGAAAATTCTGATAATAACACGGAAGAAGAGTAAGGAGTGATTTTTCTAAAGCTTGATTAGGAGGATTTGCTTTTCACTTACTTTTGTTGTTTTTTCAGGAAGCCTGAAGAAAAGAAAGACAACGTTGTGCCGTATTTTCAGTTGGTAAGTGTTGTAAATATGGACAATTAAATAAAATGTACGTACGAAATCCTCTTATTTTTAATAAAATATAGTATACAGGGTGTCAAAAAAATAGTGTATCTAACTTCGGTGGGTGATTCTACAGATAAAAATAAAACTAAAAGTTCCTCTGAACATATGCCTTAAAATGCTTCGCGAAGAAGTTACCACCCTCGAAAGGTTAAATAAAAATAATATATTTTATTTTTAAGGACATTGATAAACCGTTTTTCTTGAAATTTGGTACTATTACACACATTTTAATGCCAAAGAGAATGGCAATCGTGTAAAATTTTGTAACGGCCCTGAAAGGGTACTTTCCATTAGGTTAGAGAGAGTACTTTTTTTATCAGTTTTAACAAATGGCACAAAAAGTTATATTTTTTACGTAAAAAGGTACTCTTTGATTAATTTTTAACGGTGAACGGTTTTTAAGATGCAGGGTCGCTTTTATGTATAGAAACGGACGATTATTAGGTAAAATATAGGAGGTACTGCAAAAAGTTAAATACAAAAGTTATAAGATTTTTAAATATCTATTAGCGAGTAATACATTTAAGTATACAGGGTCGTTCATAAAGTCGTGACATCAAGGTTTCATTTTTTTAAATAGAACCCCCTGTATATTATTACATATTTCAATTCTTCCTTCAATTCTAAGCAAATATCGAAATACACACAATATACCACAAAGCAACCGTTTCCGAGTTATTGACTTTTGAAAATACCACTTAAACAATTCGATTTAATTAATTTCGATGTGTTTGGTTTGATTTAATGATGCCATGCCGCCGAAATTGTGATACTGTTGTAATCGGTTTTTAAATTCTTATTAGCTACTAGTAAATTTAAGTATACAAGGTCGGTCATAAATTTGTGTCACATCAAACTTTATTTTTTTTAAACGAAACCCCCTGTATATTATTGCATATTTCAATACTTCCTTCAATTTTAAGCAATAATCCTAATACACAATGTACACAAATTGAAGAATTGAAATGTTAAACAAAATTTTTGTAATTTCCAGACTTGATATACATTATCTGACAAACGAATCTAAAACAACGGAAGGAATTCGGGCAAAAAAAGTCGATGTTGTCACGTTTAATTATAGAGAAGCAAAGTTGCTCGATATTACCTATAAATTGAATATATTTTAATTCATTTCAGCATACATAATTATATATATGCTAATATGTTCACGTAGTTCTTATATAGTTAATGTATATTTATCTAATTAACTGATTTCGTTCATTCTGCCTTTTATAAAAGGTAAAGTATTTCCTGAAGATAACGTCCGCTTAGGGTAAGCTGGCAACGTTGACAAAATTCATCATGGCATCCCGGATTCAACCAGTCTTATTGGTCGAGATTCTCGCACGTCTTGCCTCCATTGCCCCCAACTTTATGCCCCTCTCTAGGAATAGTAGAAACAGTCACTACTATTGAAAAATCCAGTGGCGGGGTTATTGTATTGTGTTTTATATCTTTAACTTGATTTGTGTTTATTGTAATTAGTACACGCGTTTTAACTAATATTACTATATTTGGCAAATGACTAAACAAAATGTAGATACATTTAAAGTAAAATAATATTATAAACTTTACTGGAAAATATTATAAAAATTCTTGATATATTTTTATGAAACACAGCACGCTCGTGGATATTTTATGAATGAAATCGGTCATGATTTTAGAAAATTGCGATCCCCTCACCGTTGCCCCGTTGTTTTAGATCCGTTTGTCAGACTGTAATATGCTCTTATTTTATACATCTATAAATACTAACTTGAGAACTAATGTCAAATAATAGTATCACAGTTTCGGCAGAATGGCATCGTTAAATGAAACTGAACATATCGAAATTAATTAAATCAAGTTGTTTAAGTGATATTTTCAAACGTCAATAAAAAAGTGTGTCTAAGAATACCAAATTTCAGAAAAAAACGTTTTATCAATGTTCTTAAAAATAAATGAAATATATTATTTTTATTTAACAATTTGAGGGTTGTAACTTCTTCGGGAAGCACTTTAAGGTATATATTCATAGTAACTTTTTGGTTTTATTTCTATTTGTAAAATCACCCACCTAAGTTAGGTACACTATTTTTTGACACACTGTATACGCTGTACGGACTAAAATAAGTGCAAATATTTTTAGAAGTGGTATACTTCTACCCCAGGAAAACCTCTACGAGGTTTTTTTGCAAACAAATATGTTAATAATCGTGCATTTTCTTTTAAATTCTGAAAATATTTGCTTTATTTAAGACTTACCCTGTATAGTTTGTTTGTACCCTGTATAAACAGATTTTTTTCAAACTCGATTTTTTTCAAACGTCACAAAAATATTAACTTTTGCGACCTGATTGACAATATAAAACGTTATTTTAACACTTAGGCATAAAAGTGAAGCACTTTTACGTCTAATCCAAAAAAGTACGCGATAATATACCCTATGATCGGAAAAAACGGCGTCCAGTTGGCTGGGAAATTACGATCAGTGACATTTCCCACATAAATTTACATAAAAAATGACAGTGATCTTCATTTCATAGCCATCGCTGACGCCGTTTTTTTTCGATCATACGGTATTATTAAACTGACATGAAATGTCAAATTCAACGAGCGTAATCATAGTTTCTCGATATATAATTACTTACAAGGTATTACTTTGAAATATTTATATATTATTTGGAACGTTTAAAATTGTTTAAAAAATTATTTGTGGCGTTTGAAAAAAATAGTATGTTCTAGTCGGAGTTAAAATGGCTTTTTGTGCCTTTACTGTATGTCGTCAAACGTACAGCGGAAAGTGTCATTTACACAGCCACGGAAAGTGTCATTTTTACTCCTAATAAAACAATATACAGAGAAGACCAGGCTACTAGTAACATAGCAAGTTGCCGGACGAATTTACGTTTACCCGTTTTGCGTTCGTACTCGAGAGTCACTGCCGGCTAGTCGGCTGGTCAGGCAGTACGCAGTTGCAGTTGTGCTTGGACGGGTCGGTCGTGACAGACTAGGAATATGACGCGAGGAGTGCTGAGTATTTATTATTTTCATTTTAAGTGTTACCTTCACTTAATGTAACATTTTAAATCAAAATACTTAAATATTTATTATTTGAGTGTGTTTACAAGCCAAAACTAAAAATAAATATACATATATATTAATCGGTTTAAAACGTTCTACGTCTTCCGATGCCATCTCTCCATGCCTGTCTGTCTCTCCATGCACCGTCTCCGAGAGATCTTTCCTCCATAAACGTGTCAATCCCTTCCTGCCAACTTCTTCTCGGTCTACCCGGTTTTCTTCTTCCTGCAGGTTTCCAGTTTATAATTTGCTTTGGTATTCTTATTTCTGCCATTCTTTGGACATGCCCGTACCATATGAGTTGACTGTTCTTTATGTCGTCCTCTATCGTATGTTTAACTTCCATAATCTCTCTTATGCGTTCATTAGTTATTCGCTCGAGTCTTGATTTGCCTGCTGATCTTCTCCAAAAATCCATCTCTGTAGCTTCCAGCATTCGTTTTGTTGTTTCCTTAATTGGCCAGACTTCACAGCTGAACGTGGTTATACTCTTTATGATGGTATTGTATATTAAAGTTTTGTTCTTGTTGTTTATGCTTCTGTCCCACAGTATTCCATTCAATACCGTGATAGTATTCCTTCCAAGTTGGTTTCGTTCTTTAATTGCTGTATCCAACAGTCCATCATTTGTGATTTGCATACCCAAATATTTGTATTTTGTGCAGCACTAAATTTTCTTCCCTTCTTCTAGCATTAGATCTTGTTGTTCTCCTCCGATACACATATATTCTGTTTTGTTAGTATTGATCTCGAGTCCCCATTTCTGATATTCTTCTATAAGCTTACATGTCATCGTAATCTTGTGCTATGATCACCTGATCTTCCGCGAAGCAAAGTGTGTAGAGCATGTTATCCCCTATGGGTACTCCCATATTTCTACATTTTTGCTTCCAACCTTTGAGAACTTGTTCGAGATATATCTTGAACAGTGTTGGTGAAATACAGCACCCTTGTTTCAGACCTTTGGTTCCATTAAATCCTGTTGTCAACCTTTTGCCGACTTTTATTCTAGTTTTTGTTTGTTTATACAATGATTTCACTGCTTTTATTAGTTCTACATTTATATTGGTTTTTTCCATAGCTTCCCAAAGTCTCACAAGGGGAACGCTGTCGTATGCCTTCTGCAGGTCCACGAACACAAGATGTAGCTCTTGGTTTATATTGATCTTTTTACTTATTACTTGAGTGACTGTAAATAAGTGGTCCACCGTCGATCTTCCGGCTCTAAATCCTGCTTGTTCTTCGGCTTCTATTTCTTGGTATTCGTTTTCGATCCTATTTCTCAAATTTTTTCCACATATTCTACTCACGGTGGCTGTTACTGATATTCCCCTGTAGTTTTCGCACTTAGTACGATCTCCCTTTTTGTATATAGTTGAGAGGTAAGCCTCATTCCATTCTTGTGGCACATCCGTTCCGTTTATGCAGTCCTGGAAAAATAAATAAATAAAGACTAAAAATAAATAAATTCTCTAAACCCAAAAAAACTATAATATTACTCTAAATAAAAAAAAGTTATAACAAGTGAGTTTTCAAAAAGACCACCTTCTTGTGCTAGATAGAAGCCTAGGCGGTCGTAAAATCCCCGTCTGACATTGGCTAACATATTAGGGCTAATAGTTTGGAAAGCCTCTCGTATTTTTACTTGAAGCTCATCCAAATTATTAGCTTTATTATGACCATACACTTTGGATTTTACATAACCCCACAAAAAGAAATCATTGGGAGAAAGATCTGGTGATCTAGCAGGCCACAAAATAGTTCCATATCCACTAATTAAACGGTTGGGAAAAGTATTGTTCAAATATTCTTGAACAATACGGGCATTGTGGGCAGGGCAACCACCTCAACAATTTGATTACTTGAAAACGTGGGATTTTGATCAG